TGAACAGATGGTTTAAGGCGATTCAAAAAATGCAATCTTGTTCTCACGAGACATCCCTCGCTCTGGCCAGCCATCCGTTCTGGATGAAAGTGACTTGCAAGCTGCATTCGATGCTGAGTCTTTCTCGAGCACTCGTGATTTGGCTGAAGAGCTTGGTGCTTTGCAACGGGCCATCTTAAACAAGCTGCATCAATATGATTTTGCCCACAAGAAGCTTCGCCAGCGTTCGTGCAACACTTTTTGAATGGCATCGATTTAATTTATCTAATGAAGTCTGAAGAAGTATGTCAAGAGTTTTCCGATTTGTAGGAGCAGGATTGGCACTCTGAGCGGATCCGAAGTCATGCACAACGATGGCAGAAAGTCGTGGACGATGGCGGTTTATACCTTAAGGAATAATTATTGCTCTTAATTTGCGCAAAAAAAACCAGAATTTTCTAAAAATTTCCCAAAACTTTCCCCTCATCCCTAGTAGTCGCCCCAAAAATCACATAATAAGCAGGTAAGTTTTTTTCATATACTGGCACACATAACAAATTTGTTTGTTTGCCTGCTTTTCTATTGATCGCCACGAGTACACCACCCACATCGTGGAATTTACACTGCGCCGTTAAAATCCTTTTTTTTCCAGTGATAACTTTTTTTTCTAACAATTTAACACTGAATCACGCTCCTTTCAGGCTCTTGTACAGCCCGAGACACGTGTTTCGTCCTTACAGACTCATCAGCCGGGCAGAACCCGTCGTCTGTCGATCTTTTCATAGTCAGTTCTCTCGGGAGCGTCACATGACTGACTATGAAAAGATCGACAGACGACGGGTTCTGTCCGGCTGATGAGTCTGTAAGGACGAAACACGTGTCTCGGGCTGTACAAGAGCCTTTACCAGACCACATGACATGTCGGCTCAAATAATAATGAAAGGATCTATTGAAATTTGAGCGTGGTCTTAATAAAGCACTCGAAGGAAAGGTATGAATCACGCTCCATAAGAAGATTTTTTTTCGCAATTCAATACTATGAAGAATTTTACGGAACACTTTACTAGCCTTTGTTTAAATTCCATACGTGGAAACTTCTATTTTTATCTCGTTACATTCATTGACAAATAAATGATGATTCGATTTAACGACACTCCAGAATGTCGTCCGTGAGTCACCTGTATGTGGAGCATCATAACCTTTTAAATACGATGGATACGGTATTTCGTGGCAGATTACAGATAGTACTGCTCTATAGAGTTTATTCTGATGACTAGTAACTACGATTAGACTAAATGACAAAAAAATCTTTTTTTTTCTGTAAGATCAAAAATCGCGAGTATCTGAATATATGAAGAGCATTAATTATCATGTATGACTATTTTCTCCGATTTTTTCCCGACTTTCTGCATGCTCTACGTTTAACAAATTTACACTGAATAATACAATTGAATGTATATAAGAAAATAGCGTCCAGTTAGGCTTGTTTCATCATTTTCATTAGTTTAAAATCAGATTTAGTCAATGATTCTGTCTAGAAGGCGGAATATTTATGACGAAATCATGGTAGGGTCGGTACTCAGCATCTCGCGGAGGGAAAGATCTTGGCAGAGCATCTGCTCGCAGGTGAGGGCATTAGCCTGGGAAGAGGTCACCTCATTGAGTGGCATTTGCAGAGCAATGACAGAGGAGCAGGTGGTGGGAACCACATCTCATTGGAGGAATGGTCATTTGTGGTAAAGGTAGATTACTTTGACCGGTTGTGAAACAAGTAGCGGATTTTGCACCGGCACACAAAAACTGTCGTTATATTCAGACTTATCCAGTAGAACAAAATAAAGTTTTTTGACGATATGGTGAAATCTGATTATTTCGATGGGATGGATTTTCACGTCTTGGAATACGATCTTATCCAAAGATGTTTTCTGCTGGGTTTGGAAGTTGGGCATGGTCTCAGTTGGTAGTTGTATAAATACTTGGAAAAAAGGCTGATAATTGAGGTTCTTTGAGTAAGTTGGACGAGCTGGAAATTCTTTAGAAATCTGTTACTAGTCGTGATACGAACTTGATAACTATAAAATGGGTAGAATATTGGTTAGAAACTTGCCGCCGAGTCTAACCTACTGTGAAGTTGTCGCCATAGAATTCGACGGACAATTTACATTGAGTGTTTTTCGAAAGGGATTCGACATCCCGTTTGCCAAGTAATATTGGCCCACATTTTGAACTTGTTTATGTTGCTAAGGTGAGTAGCTACTAAATGAACTTTATTCGCCTAACTGCTCAATTTCTAAGTCTTTATAAGAATCGATAATTCGAGTCCATTGTTTCCAGCTGCTCGTCGTCGCTGTGAATCTTCGTCTTCATTACCACTCAAGTCTACGCTCGAGATTACGCTCGAACAGAGAGCACCACTCGTCTGAATCCCTATATCAGAATTTTTGTTATGCTTACTACGCGTCGAACGTGAATTTATTCTCTCCGGGAAACCTCCTGTAGTGGTCGGATGATTATTAGCTGGCACAAAGTGTTTGTGTCCCGACGTCAGCAAAATAAAGTTTATTTATCAAATTTATAAAACTAGCTAAATTATAAAAGAAACTACTACTGATTCGTAGTGCGGAGGTCTAAGAGAAACCGGTTTTTGAAATATTATTACGAATATTTTTACACTTTGTTCTAGTTGGTAATGATGCCGAACTGTCGTGGAGATTGCTCGGAGAAAACAGATCACTTTCAACGGATAATTCGCATAACAACCACACTGTATAGAAGGACATTGCCGAATGAGGTCAAGTGGCACTCCACCAAGAAGGGCTCAATCCGGACGACAACGGAAAGCAACAACGAGGGCGAACGGCCGTGGGCAATCGGCTCAAATTAACGTCTCTGACAAAGTCAGAGACGTTGAAACATCAGCCAAAAAGATTTCATATCACCATCGTGGTATTAGCCAAATCATAAAAGGAATTATTATTTATCGGTAGTGTCGTGGTTAAGGGAAAAATGTTCTTCAAATATGTAACTGATTGAACAAAGATCACTCGACCGAACCTACCCCTTCGACGCCACGAATATTTCTGCCTGAAAGTACGTATCCGAAATTTTTTCGCAACGTTGGCGTAATTGAAATCATTTGAGTTATCAAACGCGTCGTCGAGAAGGCGATAGTGAAGGTTTCTCGTGTGAGGCAGGTGAGAAGGGAAGCCCGCAATCCCAAATTACATCAACAAGCAAAGGTCAGAGACGCTTCTGCGCGCGTAAATGTCGAAAAGTAGGTGAGGCTGGCCTGAGTCTTAACCTTGACCAGTCAGTTAGCAAGAGCCATTAACAGTGTAGTATCGCGAAATGCAAAAGCACACTAGGAACACAATCGATTGATAGTTAGAACCTTAATCGAAATTTCTGTGGGAAAATGTAGTGCTCAGTCTAGCTGCTAGAGCGAGCGAAACTCATTGGAATGCTCCTGACTATGACAGGAATAATGGAGAGAGCACACTACAGTTACTAATGAATCTGTAGTAAGACAATCCAAACATCAATTCTCAAAATTATTTATTCACCATTACTTCTGTTCTGTGCGTTTCTTTACAGTAAGAGTGATGGGAGAACAGAGCACCAGTAGTGGAATAGTTAGCACGCACCCCTGGAAAGATTGAAATGGAGTTCAATTCCCGCCCGTAGTAGAGACTCTATATATCAATTAATATTGTTGAGTATATATTTGTGACATCATACCAGCGCTTACAGCGGTTAGATATAAATGACGTGTTTTGATTTATTGTGCTGCAATATTCATTTCAAATATCGACATTCCACTGATTTTTGTCAATTGCAATCCTAACTTCTCTGCTAATTCATTTGTGAGAAATCTTTCTAATGTTGCTTAGAGCCTTCAGTGTCACCAATGATTAATTACCCTCTCAGACTACCTATGAATGAAGGAACTGGCTCTTCTTTTGCTGCTTACAGGACATGTAAGAACTAGGATTTCCTGCCGAGGCTTGCCTGGTGAAGCTGTTGACTGGTTAGTTCACTTCTGCATTTTCCGGTTAACCTTTTTTGTGGTTTTGCGCTACTGTATTTCGAATTGATTTTGGTATATATGCAACTGTATTTATTGAATTAAAGAATAATGAATAGACAGATAAATACATATATTTATATGTATATATATTATATATATATATATATATATATATTAAAGACAATATATACATATATATTGCAATCTGTTTGATATACATACAACTTATATATATGTATATGACATATATATGTATATATATATATATATATATATATATATATATATGATGATGTGCTCGAATGGGTAGTGGTACACGTTGCCACATATTATTAGGAAGAAGGTGGTTCGATCACCTCCTCAACACTCTTCTACAGTCGGTCAATCGAACGGCTTAGGAAGCGCCTCCAACATTACGAGAAAAATCCTTTCAAACTTTCTACGGCATTCCTAGAGAGAGTGAAATCCTCAAACACTATGCCAACATTGGGATCCATGCTCTCAGGTGTGGTAAAGAGCCATGAAAAATAAAATAAATTGCCGGTCCTTATGAATAATAGGGGGATTTTGAAACAAATTCAACGCGAATTTTTGATCAAAAAAGTAAATACAAGGCCTTTTTGCTATCTACCACTATTGGCTTCTGATGCGTCTTGCTTAACAGCGATTTCCTCCTTACGAGTCCAGCTTTAGTTAATCTCGATGTGCTCTAAAAAGATCGGTAACTTCAATGTCTAATAAAAATTTTGAGGGAATCCGTCTAGGCAGATGACGCCAAAATTGTCTTTGAAGTGGTTCAGCGGCCAAGTGGTGATCTTTTCCGTTCTAATCACCTTCCATCTAGCCGCCATAATCTCGTCTCTGGTGTAATATTAGGGTGATGGAAAGGTTCCATAATACCCGCTGAAAATCCAATGTTTACATATAAACTAATTGAGAACAACAATAATTGTCTTCAAAAACACAATAATGTAGAGTGGTGTGAGAGAATATTTGCGTCAGCTGGGATTCGAACTCAGATTTTACTCTTTCTGAGAGCGCATGCTCGACCGCTGCACGACCGACGCCCATTTTGACACCACTCATTCTACACTATAACGCGTTATCTGTCAACAGCCAACCGTCTACGGTCTATCCTTCAAAATAAAAGCCACATTATTCACAATCTTCTGTCACCGTTCTGCAAGCATCCGGATGTGCTCGGAGTTGCAGTCTTCGGGCTTTGAATCAAGAACTTCTGACATGCCTTTTCGGCTTGATCAAATTGCGACTGGCTTGAGCTTCAATCAGTTTTTGCGCTTCTTGGCGAGCCTTCTTGCGGACAAAGTCAAGTTGCCGATAGTCCCAGATCGTTTTCTCGATCGCAACGCTATTTTTTGTTAACACTTCACGGGGGCTTGATAATGGTTTCGCATCCAAAGCTCGTTTTGGATCTCCATTGTCCATAGCTCAATGGCCGGCCGGACAGTTTTGGTAGTCGAGGCTGAGATCACCACTTTCAAAATTGTACCACTTTGCAACAGTCACATGACTCACAACTCGTTCACCTTCGGCATCACAGACCTCCTTCGTATCATCTCTTGCCTGAAGTTGTTGTTTCCAGCAATAGTGTATCATAATTTGATGCTCGATTTCCTCGTCGTCATCATTTGATATCCGAAGAGTAAACTGGAATTTTTTTGCACTATAACTAGCGTTGTCGTAGGATTTTATATGGAGATATTCCTGAAATATTCCCGTGAATTTGCAGTATCCGATACTTTGTGAAACAAACATGAAATTTGAATTTCCTCAACCGGTACTGTTCTATTATGGCTACGCCACTTGAGGCCTTTGGCAAAGACGCATTTTTTGTTTTGTAAAACAATTTTTGGTTTATCGATAGTTTAAATCAAGTGAATTTCAACGACATGTTTAATTTTTAAGAAAGCTTATTTTAGGCGCCGAACCTGTCAAAATAAGATTTTGTTTCTCATTCGAAGATTTCTCAATGGATAAAAGTTTAGTTGTAATGAACTTTCAATCGTTAGATAGAGAACATCTGTTTAACTGTAATGGTCTAGTTGGCTTTCAAAAAGGGCTTCTTCGAGCTTTGTAACGACCAAAAAAATATTGGGTTTCACACTCAGTGTCAATGAAAGAAAGCGAAAATAGAGCGTTTTGTGCACATCAAAAGTCAGGGGTCCAATTTTCTGAAATTAGAAGAAGTCTTTCGTTGATCAGCAGATTCTATCAATCTTTATTGCAGTGAACAAATTTCCTAGAGCTAAGATATATTTTTGAACATTAGGAGATATATTTACTCTTAGTTATTTTTATGTGGAAATTAATCCATATCAGCATACGTGCCCACCTTTCACTCAAATCAACAGGAATCTTCGCAATTTCACCAGAATTATAGCATTTTCACTGCTTCTTTCGCAGTGTTATTATATTACTTATATAACTAGGAGAATTGAGTGGTGGACAAAAACACGGCCTCAGGCGGGAATTGAACCCACGTTTCATCCTATCCGGGGACGCGTGCTCTACCACTACACCACTGAGGCACATTTGCCCAACCACTCATTCTTCAACATCTCAGTGTTCACCACTCAATTCTCTTAGTTATATAAGTAATATAATAACACTGCGAAAAAAGCAGTGAAAATGCTATAATTTCGAAGTATTAGTAATTAGAATAGCTATCAGCTCAACTGGGTTTATAAAGCGAAATCGCATACTCGACCAAACCTGTCAAAGGTTGGTGGCTGATAACTAACACTGAGATGTTGAAGAATGAGTGGTCGGGCAAATGTGCCTCAGTGGCGTAGTGGTAGAGCACGCGTCCCCGGATAAGATGAAACGTGGGTTCAATTCCCGCCTGAGGCTGTGTTTTTGTCCACCACTCAATTCTCTCAATTTTATCAGAGTTAACAAACACGAAGCGATTGTTTTCTAGTATCGTGCATCATGTACCTTCTAATGTTTTTGGATCGTTGCTGTGATATTTACGAGCTTTATATATTGTGAACTATGATTTTTCAAGGTGACTGTCTTTCTAAGGAGACTGTATGAGTCGGGGTACATTATACTCGATCTCTTTTGAGGCCGTATGGTGCCGACTATATAGACGAATCGTGTAGACGACCATTCGTATCCACATAAAAGAGCACTTAGATAGAGGCGAAAGTTGAACAATTACTCCTTTAGGTGCAAATAGGGCAAAACGGCACTACGGTAGTTATGCATATGTCAAATCCATTGGCGTAAACCAAAAAGGCAGTATGAGAAGCCCTCGAGGTATTCCGGACGACCTTCATGAATCGAAGAATGAGTGGAAGGGTAGACTACCTAACATCGTAAATGATGGAATGCTTTTTTTCAGCTTGTTCAATCATTATTCATACTCTGTAACAACACTCCGTTGATGTTTCCCATATGATTAGTTAACACCTTGCGGACGGTGCAAGTCATTTTGATCGTCAACTTTTTAAAGGTTTTTTTAAGGACAGAGTTTTCTCATGAGATTAGTGGTCAATCAAAAGCTCAAAGTTTGGCGATTCAAACATTTTGTTTGTTTTCCAAAAAGGTCTTCTCAGTACGCTAGCAGCGGAAATAGAATTATCTTCCACAATAGGAGTGCTTTGTTTCCTCGGCGAGGGCTCGTGGATGACCATAAATTATCCCACTACTCATTCGATGGCAGGAATCTCGTTGATGTCGAAACTAAGTCCAGTTTTTGAGAAGCTCCTCAGTATACGCTGTTATAGGCAGAAGAAAGATTTCTTTTCACACTCAAAATTTCTTTTCACATAGATGTTACTATGAACAAAAAGTATATGAACGTCTAGAGAAAATCATGTAGTATCAAAGTAACGCAGAAACTCACTCAAAGTTTCTCGGAAGCGAAAGGAAAAATTTAGGTAGTAAAGTAGTAAGTACTATGTTGTAAAATCGCGAGCCGCCTGTCTAAATTGTTTAACTAACTGCCGTCCACAAAGAGTAAAGTGTTGGCGTTTTGATATAGTAGTCAGACATTTGAATCGTTTTTCGCGTTAGATTATCACTAGGCTTAGCATAGATTGAATAATTAGATATGCTAAGGTTCAATACGTCTAGGCTCTGAGGGAGGTGAGGTTGCCGAATTGGTTGCCATCGGTTTCTTTTTAGTTATAAAAGTACAAATGAGAAAACGACCTCATTCGCTCAACAGTAATTTTTCATTGGAGTATTATTAGCTATTCTAAAGCTGAGATTCCAGGCTGCAGCCCACTCTCAGGTTTTCAAATGTTTTTTTTGGCGTTACTAAAATAGGAGATCACTTGCGTTGCAGGAGCGCGTAATCCTCGCCGGATAGAACTCTCTCTTTGATCTGTCAGTAATCATGCGATAGCGTAAACGGCGACATGGGGCTGTAGCCTGAAGTCTCAGCTTTTGAATGCTTAGTAATACCCTTGTGAAAGTTCCTGTCAAGCGAATGAGGTCGGTTTTCATTTTTCGCTTATGACTGAATAGTTCCGCCATCGATCTTGGTAATGATGTAACAATTTCCGTAAGCTCAATAAATATATAGTGTGTAGAATATTTTTCATTTATTCATGCCGTAATTTGCTGAGATTTAGTCTTTCGATCTGTTAAGGGCAAGCTGTGCGAGGAAATTGGATTGACGGTAAAGTGAACTCTCCATTGCCTTCCCGTCGCTCTAGACGAAAACGAGGGAAATCATCCGACTTTGGAAGAAAACGAAGCAAATCATCTGTATCTCCGCCTAGAAAGGATTACGAAAATGTAGATCCTACAGAAGATGAGCGACTGTCCATCTTAAGCGGTGATTTGGTTATTGTTGACGAAGAAGAGGTTGAAGATGGGGAAATTGTAGAATAGGTTATTTTAGCTCATCTTTAGTTAGCCTTTTCTTTCAATTTCAATGACTTCATGAGGTTTTTTCGAAATGTTATCATGGTAAATTGAAGATTTGCTTAATAAAGACAATGAAGTGAGATGTTCTGTTATTTTGAGATTTGTTTTCTTGCTTAATTCTCATTTTGCACGACGTAAATCTAAAGAAAGTCACGATAGTTTTGTTGCTGAGTTGTCTTGTTATTGCAGGCAATTCTCATGTTAGATTTTTGGCTCTTGGTTCTATTTCACAAGTATTATTTATTAATTTCTTTTTTTTTGACTTGGAGCAATCATCGCTCAAACCATGAAGTAAAAGACTTTTATTGAGCTTTTTTTTCACTGCCAATTGCTATGAATACACCAGCGGTAGTGATTCTTCCCCGTCACCTTTTTTTCTCTCCGAAAAATGTAAGTTTGTAGCGGCTCTTCGTCTTTTTCTGAAATCGTCAAATAATTTATGACAAAACGTCAGCTAATATTCTGTAAATAACTGGCTCGATTACCAAAAGTACTGAATATTAAATGGGATAACGTGTGCCCTCACGAGTGCTAGGATCTCCAGCCGTTAATATTTGACTCGTGCTCGAGTTCGGTCAGACTCACCCCAGCGACGACCAGCTTCGCTTGAAATGGGTTGAATTCGGGTTAACCGGTTGAGAACCAAAGGACCCAGAGGGTCTGTCTGGACCCACCCCTGACCCGGCCTCCACCAAACGCGTCCGATGATCGTGATAGTGATTGGGATTATAGCGGTAATGATGGTAGTAATAGTGATCTTAGTGATAGTGGCGGTTGTCATAATGACAGTGATGATAGTAATAGTGATCATACTGATAGTGATCATAGTGGTAGCAATGTTAGTGATAGTGATCATGGTGATAGTGGTAATAGTAGTAATGATAGTGATAGTGACAATGATAGCGATAGTGATAATGATGGTGACAGTGATAATGGTAGTTATCATTATCATCATCGTTATCATTATCATGATAACAGTGATAAAGGTGATAGTGATAATGATAACAATTATGGTAACTATCATTATCACTGTCATCATTATGGCCACCACCATCATTGTCACTAGCACTATATCACCATCGCTACCTCAACTAGCACCACGATTACTATCACTATCATCACTATCACTACCGTCACTTTCACTATAATCACTATTACTATCATT